CGCAGATACTTTATCAGCTCGCGATCAAATTGTCCTTCATGGATACATGCGTTCAGTACGTCAAATCGATTCTTTTGTTCTTGGCTGCACTCGTCGTCGCAGCAACAATTGAAATCGCACATGCCTAAGATGAGATTGCAAACGTTTGACGGACAACCTTGGGACTCTGGAGAGGTGCCAGCTGTTAAGTCGCAAAGGCAAGAGCAATCAAACTGAACACATTCAGCATCACTGTCGCCCGATTTTCGGCAGGCGCAGCTCGGCGGCATCTTGCGACCCAAAAAATGTGCGTTCTGCAACTGAGTTTCGATAGAGAGATATGTGGCGGTATTGCCAGAGGTTGTTGTCTCTGTGGAACTCGAAAACGGGAAGAAGGGCCATGCGACGCGCGAGCCTTCCTCTCCAAGGCAGGTGCCAAACACGGATGCGATGCAAATTGACCTCATTTGGCGGTGTTTTTTTACTGGATCGATAATAAAAGATCGGTGCACCTTCTCACCAAAAAGGACCACGAGAGCCCAATATAATATGGACCCCGCCTTCCAAATTAATGTCAAAATGGACCCCACTTCAAAACAATATATCTAAAGGGGCCCCACCGTCCACCATTTCGACCATATTTAGAGAGTTTTCTCTAATTAGAGGAATATGAGAGTATCCCTAGTTAGGCTCCTCCTTTCTCCCCTCGTACTTTATTTCTCCACGGTTTTATGCTAAGGGGAATTCTGAGGCTGAACCTAAAAAGGGAATTCCTCATTGTCAGTATAGTGAACTTGAAAAAGGGATCTATCTGAATAGAGTACTAGCTAGATTTACCATCATCCTCATCATGATATGATCGCAACGTCACGATGATGGGCAGTGAGAAATGACTATAACTTAGCTTAATCCTAGTAGTAGGCACTTAAGAGACTCTTAAGTCCGTTCCTAAGCTCTAGCGACACGGAATGGAGGCCGCAAAGCTTGCCGTTCTTCAAAAAACGCGCCCGCTCGCGCTGTCTTTCTTCGTGCCGGCCCTCGATGGCGTCGTCCATGCCGGCGGACGGGTGCTGGTGGAAGGAGGCATCTACGGCGAGGTCTGCGCCTTCGCGCCGGACCTGCGGGCTGTTCCGAATGAAGCGTGGGAGCAGCGATAGTTTATGGTCGTACTTCTGGGGGGGGGTCGACCGTGGCCAGAGCCCATCAAAAGTGCTGCACGAAAAACCAGGTGGCCAGGAACCATTGGTCGAAAGCCCCTCGGACAATAAGATCTGCTTTGAATGGTATTGCCCCCCGGTCAGTGGGCAAGGTGAGTGCCGTGAGCGCAATCGGCCCTGTTTACCTTACTCGCATACACCGTAGGGGGAGCCCAGGCCCCAATGGTGACTCGCAGCTCCCTGGCTCTAGACAAGCGGGCGAGGGCGCCTTATGTGCGTGCGCTCCCAGGAAAGGCAGGCTCAGGCCGACCAGCCTTTTCCTTTTCGTACGAATCATTCTCCATGTTGCTGCGTATTTGACTTGGAATTGATTAGCAGTAATAGCAGAGGGATGAAATAGCGCTCACACAGCGACTCGAGTGAGATGATCTCGTGTTTTCCTGGCTGGTGGCAAACTGGATCGCAGCTGGTAATTGTGTCATTATTGCATCGCCTTTGACTCTGAGACCAAGTTCGGTCAAGAAATCATTAAGCTCAGAAATAGTCAATTCAAAGTTTGATAAGAATAGGGCGGATACGAACGACATGTTCTTGAGTGTCATCGTGGGTTGGGAAATACGATCCAGAGCTCCCAATGTATCACGTATCACGCTATTACACAGCGCTTTGCTTACTCGCCCTGGAGGTTTTGCTTGCCCGCACAACAATGCCAATGCAAGTGTCATAGCAGGTCTTATTGATATCGTGTCTAATGGTGATGCAAGTGCATCAAGCATGCCGCTCAACGGGGTGATTATTTCAGGTTGATGCTTAGACACCTTTCCATCGATGTGCTTTTCAGCCACATGCTGGTACAAAGGGCACATCGTCGACACCATAAACAAATCAAATGCCTCGGGTATTGAGGTATTAACTGATTGGCGGAATATTGTAGCAAAGGAGATTCGCACGATGGCCTCGACAAACTCTCTGTACAAAATTGGCCTGTCGAGCATTCGACACTTGGGGGCCAGCTTTGAAGCATGAAGGCTATCTGTGCCACAATAAGATATAGGAACTGGTTGATCGGGGAGCAATTCCTCAGGATTTTTTTTCTGGTGATGCAGCCTTGCACTAGCAATGACACAAGAATGTTGCCGAAACATGTTTTGGAGCACACTTCTTACGTAAGCTCGTGAAAGTCTTGACGGGCTGATTTTAATGTCTTCGCAAAACTGGAGGAAAGTATCAGTAGTCATAGCAAAAACTTCATCCATTTCTTCATCTCCATTTCGATGCGGCACATACCTTAAATAGATCCCCTTCAATTCAGAGTTGAAGCGGAGAATTTTTTTTTGCAATTGAGTCTCTTCCCATTTTCCAAGAAACGGGTCGCAATTAATGAGATCTCCAAGATGAAGGTGGACCCGAGGCTCAACCGAGTGCGTTCCACCGGAATCAAGAACGCATCTTGGCATGTCTTGAGTCATGCGGTCACAGGAAAAGTTCCCACCATAAAGGGCCCCATCATCGCGCACAAAGACACCATGGCCGTCTTTGACCCCTTGAATCCAATGTCCGGAGTAACAGGCACCATTTGCATAGTGGAAAGTGCCAATGCCATGCCTCTGACCGGCTTTCCATTGGCCATGGTAGCGATTGCACATTTGCCTTTGAGTTCCAGGCCATGATGATTCTTGGGAACGCTGCATCCAAGTATGCTCACCCGTCCCGTTTTGTCTGTCATTTTCCCATTCACCTTCATAGCGTTCAGACCTATCTCGCCATAACATCTTACCGAAACCATGCTTGACATTACGAACCCAGTCGCCTTCGTAAATATTTCCGCTTGCGTAGTACATGATCCCGTGTCCGTTCCTGTCATTGTTTGCCCAGTCACCTTCATAGCGAGAGTCGCCAGCGGCGTCGTAGCATAACGTGCCTAACCCGTGTCTCTCGCCGTTGTACCAGTCCCCGTTGTAGCGAGGGGTGCCATCGATGGGTCCGTGCATTGTACCACATCCATGGCGAAGGCCGTTCAATACCTCTCCAACATAAGTAGAGCCATCTGGCCACGTGTATTTACCTCGACCCGTGATAGTATTGCGCCTGAATTCGCCGGTGAATGTGGTACCATCGGTCCATTTGTAAACTCCGTTCCCATCCATCAAGCCACCACGGAAATCACCGGCGTAAGTAGGCCCACCTTCAAAAGTCGCGATCCCATGCCCATCAAACCGATTCTCTAGATCTCGCCCGCCTTCGTAATCGACGATTACTAAGTCAGCGAGCGACGCCTGTAGCCCAGCGCTCTGCATAGGGGCGTTAACAATTTTTAATGTAGTGTGCGAAATTGCATTTACGGTGCCCAGCATGTCGATCCTAACTATTATTATTATTATTATTGTGTATTTAGCGTCGGAGGAGCCGCATGCCCAAGAGCACACACGGCCGATAGGCCTCGGACGGAAGAAGTTGAAGTAGGTGGGGCCGCTGCCCCCCAGCAGGGGCCGAAGGCCCACGGGGGGAGGATCAGCTTCCCCGGCGCCCCGAGGGGCGAAGCCCCGAAGGGCGGGAAAATTTTGTCCCGAAGGACCGAGCGAACGAAAGGGGGAGGGGTCGTCGACGAGAGGCGGACGGGCGTTCGCACGCACCACTCCAGGTCCAGGTCAGAATCCAGCACGTTGATGTTCGGCGGTTCACTAAGCCGCACGGCAGTAGAAAGCTCGAGTTCCAATGACGCAAAAGACCAGTCTGGGAATAAACTATTCGATTTATTCCTGGTTTGCTCTGGCACAACTTTTGGCAGCTGCCGTTGCAGCTGTGCGTTGCGCGTGCGGGCTGTTGCGGGCACGCCCCGGTCCGTGGTGCTTGTGCGGTAATTTCTGCTGCATTTCGTGTTGATTGGTGGTAATTTCGCGCGGTAGTGCTGCCCGCAGACGGTGCCGAGCGGCGCGGCTATTCAAACTTGGCCTGCGGGTGGCGGTTGCAACATGTCACGGTCGTTGCGAGACTCCACGAATGCTCGGAGGCATGTTCCTATGTCTGGTGGGGCTGCTGCCAGCGATTCGCGCCACCAACGGTGACGGTTTCGTTACCTAGGGGGACTACGCAACGTCACGTTGATGGGCAGTAAGAAATGACTATAACTTAGCTTAATCCTAGTAGTAGGCACTTAAGAGGCTCTTAAGTCCGGCCTAAGCTCTAGCGGGGGCGATGGCATGGGCGCACAATTTTAGACGCGCGAATAGGACAGGATGCGGTCCTCGGGGGTAAAATTTGAACACACTTCGCAAGGGGAAATCGGGGTCGGGCATTCCAAAACTTCAGCCCGCTTGACTCGGGAACACGCAGAGGCTGAGATCGATTTCGTAACTGCCATCCCCGCGCGCGCGCGCGAAAAAGGCGCCAGTGATCTCCGCTTCTGCGCGTCGTCCGAGCCAGCGGATTGTTTTTTCTGAATCAACAAAGATGATTCAGTCCTTTGATGCGGTCAAGTACATAGCACACATAATTTTGTTCGCACATAGGGCGCGTCAAAGACTCGCGCCCATACGCTGCTGCCGGATTTAATACTGTTAGGCTCTAGTTAGTGTTGGCCTATATATTTCTTGTTGCCCATCAACGTGACGAAGCGTACATTCCGCTCTTTGGGCTATGCTACCCTAACTCGGGACTATGCTATCCTCCCTATGCTGGGACGCTCATACTGGCCTATGCTGGCTATGCTAAGTCTGCCTTATACTGGCTATGCTCATGCTATACTATGCTGGTGCTTCATACTAGCATACTCGGATTCTAACATTGGCAGGCTCTGCCAGCACTTCGGGGTGCCCGCCAAGTGGCTCTACACCCTCGACATGCGGCCGAAGCGTTCGAAGCTCGCGCTTGAGGACATGCACCAGGTGATGGTTGCCCTCCTGAGAAGCTACTTTGAGAGTGAGGGTGCTCACATGCATGGGGACCTGCGGCGCATCCGAGTCGCCATCATCCCGTACAAGAACGCCATCAACGCCATCGAACACCATGCCAACATCATCATGTTCACGAAATTCCCGCACACGCTTGGCGACCCATCTGTCCACGGCGATGGCCGTTTTGTGCTCAGAGCCCCTCGATCGCAAATTTTGCGCTCGA